GCCCTAAACGGTCGGGTTGTGAATAGAAAGCTCTTGGGGTTAGATTCTCCTCTTAGCTTCCATTTTAAGTAAGTGGCGGTCCCTGGCACCATCGATGGTGCTCCCTGCCCTGCCAGGAGTGATCCTTGAGTACAGAGCCAGGAGGAAGCCCTGAAAATGGCTGGGTGTGACCCCCAAGCCAAAACCAAACCCATAATAATAAGCAACTTGAACGGTTCTGGGGAGTCCGGAGGAAGGAGCCGGACGCTGCTCTCACTCCGCTGCTGTGCCAGTCCACAGTTCCGGGGTATCCTCTGCGGCTTGGCACCTCAGAAAAATCAGTGACACCTTCAGCAGAGAAAACAGGCAATGGGGAAGGCTGTGGTGAAGGGGCCAACTGGAGAATGTGGTGACTTAATAATCCGTGATGGGATTCCGGAATCTGAATTCTGAGGACAGGTCTGGATGGTGTGAGAGCAGGGAATCCTACTCAGATGTTTTTCTAACAATGTTGAAGCTTCTTCCTGATGGGAACAGAGTCCTGGTAACTGTAGCATTCCTGAAAATCAGGAGATTCTGATCATCTGGATGCCAGCATCAGAGCTCTGTGGGCTATAGAGAGAAATGTGCTGCGGGACCATTGCAGCTGCGTTTTCTAGGGTCACCTTTCTGGAGTCTCAGGCAAGAAGGTGGCACTCCCAAGCTCTAGAGTATCTAAAATCTTGGAAAAAAGGGATTATGTGTGTGGGTTTTTTTTCCCACTTTTTGGGTCACACCTAGGTGACGAAGCTCAGGGGTCACTCCTGGCTCTGCACTCAGGAATCAGTCCTGGCAATGCTCAGGAGACCATATGGGATTCTGGATCGAACCTGGGTTGGCCACATGCGAGGCAAACACCCTCTCCGCTGTGCTATCGCTCAGGCCCCAGATCTGTGATTCTCTAGTCATGGCAATTTACAACTCCTATCCAGGTGACCTACGGGAATCAGTATTTAGCAGTGTGAAATACCTAGGACTTTAGGATGAACTGTTTCATACACTCCCCTAGAAGTCAGGTTAACATTTCTAGAGAGGCTATATGCCTGATCATTTACCCTTTCAGCCACACACATATTTAAATACCTAAATTGTAAGGTGCATTTGCGTACCTGAATGCCCCCCCCCCCCACCCTACATACATACACACACACCCTGCCCCTATTGTCATGGACTAGTTTATTTCTGGAGCTAAGCTGCTAGGAGTGTTTAACTGAGACAAACACTGAAGGTAAAAGTGGCGGGTCAAGCACCAGCTCCCACACAGCTCCATTTACCCTGTGCCAGCACAGATGCCCCAAGGAGGCCAGAATAGGGCTCAGGGTTGGAAGTCCCCACACTGGCCATGACAAGTCCTGCCTATGTAGGGGGGCGGGGGTGCTCGCCAGCTTCGTAACTCCCGTGGCCTTGGTCGCAACCAGGGGTGGGGTTGAGCTCACTGATGTGAGGCCAGTGAGAGCTTCAGATCTGGGTGCTGCTAGGTGCTAGTGCCAACTGAACCAGCAGAAATCAAAGGATGGCAGGGAGGAGAGGCAAAGGAGCACTGCAGGGATGATCAGAGGCAGGGGAGGGATCCTGGAGCACTGGCCGGAGCTGGTCCTTTGCCCTCCGCTGTATGTGCCATTCATTTTTTCTCACTGGGGGCTGACGACCTGAGGCCAAACAGGCAAAGTTTCTGGGATGGTTCAGATAATTATAATTATTTACCTCTGGAGGTTGGATGGGGCTTTGTCTCAGCAGGAAGGTGACAGCCGTGATTGATGTTGACAAAGAGGTTTGTTTCAGATGAATCATTATGATTATAAAGAACTCTAGAGCTTTATATTGTGAAGCTACACACTAACTGTACCATATCAAGAGATAGAGACAGACACAGACAGAAACACACACACACAGACAGACAGACAGACAGACAAACTGATTTGCCACAATCTGGATCAATCACGTGGATGTGTGCCAATGGCGGTGAACTACTGTGGACCAATCACACATCTCCCTTAGCAGATGCTTGGCCATGGGCTCTGCCCTGTCTATTGGTGTCAATCCAAGAGCAGAAGGAGTTATGAGCCAGAAAGAGGCATGAACATTTTCTCTAAACACGAGGAGAAATGTCATGTTGGTACTCTATGACTATAAAGAAAAGATTACTGAAAAGACTTAGCAAATAGCTTTTCATCTGCCAAGTGACATATTCTATAAATGGAGAAAATATCAAAACTCACTCCATGGTTCATTAACTTTGTTTTTATAACAGTTCAGTACATTCATTTATCAATCAGTGGTTGCTTTTGGAGCTCTTACATTACATACACTGTCTCTGCCTTTACATGTACACACACACACACACACACACACACACACACTTTCTCAGTCTCAGGATAAAACAAATGAGAGAAAGATGAGGCTTCTCTTTTGAGAAAGGATTCTACTTCCCTCTTGGATTTTATCTTTAGTACAACTACATTTTTTCAGATGAATAGCCCATACTATTAGCTCAGTAAATGTTTAAAGTAAAGGTGCTTTTTTCTAAGCATAAGATTTTGTGGAAAGTTCAAGTCTGTTAGGAAAAAAATGATGCTTAAAATAATGTGCAGTGTTTAACAGAGGACCTACAGTTGTCCAAGAGACATATGAAGAGCTGCTCAGCACCGATGATCAGAGAAAAGCGAACCCAAAGGGCAATGATGTGCTCATTGCAATGAGGCCCTCCACCCGTGAGAACGGATGCTCAGAAGGGCTGCGGCCGATCAGTGCTGGTGAGGCAGTGGAAGGAAGCCCTCATCTCTGCTGGTGGGAAAGCAAATGGTTTCACCTCTGGAAAAACAGATGTTTTTCAAAATGTTAAAAACAAAACTCCCATAGGATCCGGTCATGGCACAAACACAAATACTCAGAAGGAGACCCACATACACACCACAGTTTGCATGTGGTGCTGCGACAGCCAACATCTGGAGGCGAACCAAGTGTTCCAGGATGGAGCAGTGGCCAAGGGGGTCATGGCAGAGACAGACAATGGCAGATGCCCAGCTGGAAGGAAAGACACCACGAGGGCAGGAGATAGAGGACAGGGAAGGGACAGAAGCAAATGAGGTGGACCCTCAGACTTTGATACCAGAACGCAGGTCACCATGAGACAGGGTGGGGGTTGGAAGGAGCCGATCTGTGGTGCTCGGGGGGTCCTGGCCCTTTAGTGGGGGTGTGTTGTGGTAACATGGGGCCCCCTGGGCATGTGGTGTAGACAGTTGCACTCTTGTAAACCCTGTACCCCTTGGTGAGAATTAAAATTAAAACCAGAGTGTGGGAGCAGAGCTTAACATTCTACTGGGTTGGTGTTCCCCACATGTCTGAGCTGTAGTGAAAACACAGGGGGCCCAGGAACTTCCTTGTATGTGGCCAACCGCTGGTTTGATCACTGGCTTCCCTAACCCCAACAGGACTGACCAATGAACACGAAGCCAGAAGTAAGCCGTGAGCACTGCCCGGTGTGGACCAGATCCCAAGGCCCTCAAAAAATCCTCAGCACTTGTTATTTTCTACAATTGGTTCTCATTCTTCATAATAGTTTTCTACATTCTCGAGAGTTCCACAAATACCCCATCAGTGAACGCAATGCGAACAGCACTGCTCTTAGGAAGCCAGGGTCAGGTGACCCTGAGACTCACATTGGCGTGAACTGATCAACAAGTCATCTGGGATGGGATTCAGTCACAGTGTTCCAACATCCGATCCTTCACCCGTGCACGTTTCCCACCATCAATGACCCAGTTTTCCTCCCGCAACCCGCTCTAGCCTGTCTCTATACCTCTCTCTCTCTCTCCCACACACACACACACACACACACACACACACACACACACACATGCGTGCGCGCGCGCACACACTCACACACACACACACACTCACACTCCACTTTCCTTTTGGGCATTATGGTTTGCAATCCAGGTACTAAGAGATGATCATGTACATTCCTTTTCCCCCTTTCAGCTCTCCATTCTTGCCCAGAGTGATCATTTCCAACTATCGTTGTCATAATGGTCCCTTCTCTGTCCTGACTCCCCTTTCCTCACCCACTAGTGGCAAGTGTCCAACAATGGGCCACTCCACCTGTCTCTCATTTCTACTGTCCTTGGTTAGTCTCATACAATTGTTAACACTTTTGCTAATGTCTGCTACTATTGGTAAAATCTGCAAGATGTACCCCCTGCCTCACTTGTCAAACCATCCACTCTCATTCACCTCAACTCATGCAGGAGCCACGGTCCCCTTAAGAGCAGAAACACTGAACATCAAAGTCTGGAACTCAGGACAATGAAGCAGCTTGATGCATTTCCTGCCTGCATGAAACTGACAAATACTTTGTAGAGGAGGCAATTCTGCCAAGTCTGATGACTTGATTTCCCGCAGACCAATCCGTGTTCAAACACAGACTTTCAGGATGGTGGGGGTGGGGTGGGGTGGGTCATACTTGCACAAGCACTGGGAGGGTGTTGATCCTCCGAATAAAATGGGGTTGAAGCTGGCCCCAGGTGCCTCGACACAGAACACAGAAGAAAACAATCTTCTTCTAAGAAAGCAGCCATTCCTCCCTCTCAAACCCCACGGGAGTCTGTGGAAATAAATCAAAAAAGGTGCATGGGAAGGATTTTAACAGCGTGTAAGTTCCCAGGTAACTGTCTGGGAGACTCAAATCTGAGTCCAACAACCGGCCTCTCAGACCACCCAGGAGTGAGCAAGCAACATCCAGGAATGACCGTGCAAGGGAGAAGAGCTCAGAAGGAAGGGGGAGGGTATGAGAGATGGTCCAGGGGTTCAGGTGTGCCCTGCATGTGGTTGATCTGAGTTCGATTCCCAGCACGACACAGGGTGCATCCTGATCACTCCCCCTCTCCCCCCGCAGTGCTGGGGTGGCCTGGATAATCCCTGGACAAAAAAAAAAAAAAAAAAGAAAAAAAGAAAAAGAAATAAAATGGGCCACACTGCAGAGGTTTTTTTTTTTTTAAATTTTCCTTTGAAGTTTATTTTGACTTTTCATTTTTGGATCACCAAGCAGCTGTTTAAGGAGGATGCACAGAGAGTGATTCCGGCACTTTCGGAGAGTACATGAGATTTGTTTGTCACATTTGGTCCCCTCGCCCAGCCCATCACTCAGGCTGGGTGAGCAAGAGCTGCCCGGAGGATTGGAGGATTCCCGGGCGGGGGGTGGGGGTGGGGGAATACATAACCGTCTACACAAACAGGCAAAAAACCGTAAGGTGGCTGGTAGCCACGGGGCGGGGAAACGGCAGAGTCCCTGTGAAGTGTCCTCTCGTCTACCTGGGCGCATCAGAAGCCTCCAGGAAGCACACACGCTGAAATGAGAATCCTGCCCTCTCGAAAGAGCTCCGTGGCCGCATGCAGTCAAAAACAGAAAGGACAGCATTTCATCACTTGATAAAATCCAGGCAGTTCACTTAAAGGGGTTAAGGGGAAAAAATACAAAAGCAAAATTTCTGTTTTTCCTTCTTTTTTTTTTCTTTTCTTTTGAGGGACTGTCTGTTATCACTGTAAAAAAGGCACTTGGAGTTACTGGGACCGGAATTGAAGGACTCTTGGCGGAGAGAAATTTCATTCAAAGGCTGGGATGTAGCAGAGATGTCACTGAGTGAAAGGAGACCCTGAAATGAAACACCGAGAGACGCAGAACCCATGAAAACGAAGGGGTGACACCTGTACAAATGCACCGCCCAGCGCTGGAGGGTGCCCTTACAACTGCGCCCGGCCACTGGGCTCGGGGCTCACTCCCACCCCCCAGGCACAGAGCCAAAAAAGGGGGCACCGCTGTTTGCACAAGGGGCAGACAAGGCGGCCAGCCCCTGCCCATATCATGGGGGGGCTGCTCTTCAGCGTCCTTGGGTCAGGGGTTGGGGCAGACGACATTCAGATCCTTGTCCCAGCCCTCTCTGGAGTTGAGACCTGTGGGGGACATATGGAGAGGGTCCCCGACTCCACTTCTGCGGCCCAGAGCAAAGCAGGGAGAGTTCCTGCCCACACTGGCTGCCTCCACCGCTTCAGCGCAGGGGAGAAATTTTTGGCAATTGGGGGGGGGGGGTGTCCCACCCTTGGGGGTGGGGGGCGCCAGACCCTGCTCGGGCTCATTTGATATTGAACGCCATCAGGGGCCTCTCCTCCCGCCGCTGCCAGGGGCTCTTCTTGTCCTCGCCTTGGTCATCGTCGTCGTCGTCGTCCTCATCATCCTCTTCCTCTTCCTCCCGGGCAGGTCTGGGCGCTTGGGGGGCGCCCCCGGGCTCGGCCGCGGGGACGTCGGCAGTTCGTCTGGTGGTTTCCTCCTGCAGGCTGGGCAGCTGCCCGCCGCTCCGCCGGCCCCCGCTGTCCAGCAGGCACCGCAGCGCGCTGTCCTCGGGGGCGCACGCCGCGGCGCCCCCCTCGCCGCCTCCCGGGTCCAGCGCGCGCTCCCGGTGCACCAGCTGCGCGTAGGCGGCGCCGTCGGCCGCCCGGGACTCCTTGGCAGCGTGCTCCTGGAGCGGGGGGTGGCTCTGCGGCAGGGCCAGGGCGTCCCCTCGCCCCTTGCGGGCCGCCTTGGGCTCGTTCATGTCCACGCCCGAGTCCAGGCTGGCGTCGTTGCTGCCGTTCCTGCCGGCTCTTTGGAGGTCGATGTAGGAGTGTCGCACGTGCGCGTTGGAGCGGCCGTCCAGGGAGACGAACCAGGCGCGGGGGTGCGGCAGCGGCTTGCCGCCCCCCAGCTCCATCAGCGCCTTCTCGGTCAGCAGCTGGACCTCACTGTTCATCTGCGCCAGCGCCGCCTCGTTCAGGGACGCGGGGATGGACAGGGACTCGGACACGCGCGCGCCTGCCTCCTGCAGGTGCTGCTGCGACACGGCCTGGCACGACAGGGGCTGCCCGGGGATTGGGCCGGCGGGGTGCGGGTAGAGCTCCGCCTGCAGCCTCTCGATGTCCAGCTGCTGGTCGGCGGGCACCACCAGGGGCTGGCCCACGTAGGAGTGGTCGCCAGGGAGCTTCATGTAGTGCGCCGGGATGACTAAGGCGGGCAGGACCTTCCGGTACACGCTGTCGTTGACCTGGTCCACGGAACTGCAGCAGATGAGCTGGCCGGGCCGCGGGAAAGAAGAGGGTCTTTCCAGGTGGTCCACGGAACGTGACATCAGACACTCCGTGGCCGGCCGGCGGTCCAGTAGCTGCTCCTTCTCGGGCGAGGAGGGCGTGGGGTAGAGGTGCTCCTGGATGGTCAGCTTGCTGCCCACCGCCAGGGACGCCTGGCTGTCCCGCTCGGGCCTGTCAAAGAGTGGCTGTGAGAGCATGGCGTTGTAGCTGCGCCGGTAGTCGCCGTGGCTGGGCGACTCGTAGCTGTCCCTCTCCAGGGACCGCCGGGACTTGAGCGGGAAAAGCTCCACCGATTTGCCCAGCGTCCCGCTGGGCGTCAGGTTGTCAAAGGAGCCCTGGCTCTTGTCGTGGTCCTGATGCGACAGCAGCTCCTCCCGGGAGCTGAAGTCCTGTGAGGTGCTGTAGGCCAGCTTCAGCACAGGCGCGTGCAGGTCCCCCTCGCCACCTGGTGAAAGCAGCTCCCGGGGGACGCCTCCCAGCAGCTCCTTGGAGCCCGGCGCGTCTGGCCGGCCGTGGCCGCTGACTGAGAGCGGCCCCGGGAACTCGGACTCCCCCCGGCGGGAGAAGAGCAAGTTGATGTGCGACATGGACGTGGATTGATCCCTCTTGGAGCTCTCCAGCGTGGCCGGGAGGTGCAGCTTCCGGTGATGCTGGCGAGGCTTCAAGCATTTCCGCCTGCGGGTCCAAGACACAACGGACACCCCAGAGTGAGAGTGATGCGGGGCGGAGGGGCTTCCCTGCACCTCTGGGGCCCTGCAGAAGACCACTCCTCAGCCCACTCCTTGGTCCCGTGGTGCTGACTGAGCCCCGGTCCCATCCAGAGATCTCAACCCTCCATCAGAGCACTGTCCCCTGAGTCTAGAAGCAGTCTGCCCACCAACCGAACAGATGAGAGAGAAAACGAAGAGCAGTTCTACTCCATCCTTGAAAATACCCTTGGTCAGCCTTTGGAATATTCTGGAAAGGCACCTATGACTCCTGGCCAGCTTTCCTGACTCTCCACCTCAGCCATATTATGACACAGACTAATGCCTCGCACACCTGTCATTCACCCCTTAGATGACAAGGTTCAGATCTTAGGTCTGTTATCAAGAGCACTTTGATATAGTAACAACAACAACGACAACAATAATAGTAATAGCTGTCACCTCAACATCAACACTGGCAAAAGAGCTTTCCAGATTAAAAAATAAATGGCAGTGCCCCTGCCTCTGGCCCCCCAACTAGAACATTACCTGCAGTAATACAAAAGGAGGCACAGCAGAACCAGGAGGATGAAAGCCATCCCGCCTAAGATGGCCAGGAGGAAGAGCGTGTGATACGCCGTGATGTCTTGGGTGACAATGGGACCTAGAAGGGCAGAAAAGGGCGTATTAGGTGGACAGAAGTCAAGGAGCGCATCGACTCTGTCTCCCTCCTCCTCCTCCTCCTCCCAGAGAAAGGCTTTGACTGCATTTTAGAGGATGCGGCTGGATCAAAGTGCTCCTCCTGGCAGAGCTGTGGGTGGGATCTGGCTGCAAACACACACACACACACACACACACACACACACACACACACACACACTAGGGCAATGCCCAGGGACGCTCCTTTGCTAAATGATTTCCAGTGAAGGTGTGACACTGCTGTGGTGTGAGTCCTGCCTCGGGAGCTGGTCTGAAAGGCAGGTGCACTTATAAGAAGCAACTAAGTTGTAGTGTCTTATTGGGACCAACCCTGAGAGCCAATTACTCCTGCGGGAGGGGCCTTGGACTGCTGGGAATGGCCTCACAGGTATGAGATAAATCGATTAACTTGACAAACACCCCCAGGGCCAGAGAGACAACTTAGTGGGCTGGCACACGACTTCATGCAGGTGTCCTGGGCCACATTTCTGGCACCACATGGTTCCCTGCCTAGAGTGACTCCTGAGCACAGCTGGGGAGGGGGACTCCTGAGCATTGCCAAGAGTGGCTCCTAAACCCTTAAACAAGACAAAATCCACCAGCAACATCTGTACAGGGTTGTCACATGATCCTAAAAGGTCTCAGGGTTTCAAAAGGAAACTCCCCCACGCCCATTTTCTTTCCCAAAGGGTCTGTGCCCCCAGAGCTCTGCAGAAGGCCAACACAAAGGCTCACGGAGCTGCACAGACTCTCTTCCCTCCATGCTTGCTGTCAGGAATCCCTAGAGGCCTGTGCCTTGGCCTCTTCCGGTCAGTGCTGGTAAGCATTGATGCTAAGGCCACTGACTAGAGTGACAGAAATAGGAGAAGCTTCCAAATTACAGACGGTAGGCAACTTCTGGCTTGGGAATCCCAGACATAATCTCTAGATATGAAGGTGTGTGCTAGGGTCATTTGACATGAAAAACACCCATTTAATGTCATGAGTTGTTGTGATTTTGGTTTGGGGCCACATCTGGAAGTGCTCAGGGCTGACTCCTGGCTCTGCACTCAGGTATCACTTCTGGCAGGGCTCAGGGACACCATGTGGGGTGCCAAGGATTGAACCTGGGTTAGCTTTGTGTGCCAGACAAGTGCCCTAACCACTGCTCGCTCTCTCTCTCTCTCTCTCTCTCTCTCTCTCTCTCTCTCTCTCTCTCTCTCTCTCCCCCTTCGTGATTTTCTAAAGGGAGAGGCTTCCTCAAAAGTCTTTTGAAAGAGGGCTGGAGTGATAGTACAGTGGGTAGGGCATTTTCCTTGCATGTGGCCAACCTGGGTTTGATTCCCAGCATCCCATATGGTCCCCCGAGCATCACCAGGAGTAATTCCTGAGTGCAGAGCAAGGAGTAACCCCTGTGCACCATTGGGTGTGACCCTTGCAAAAAAAAGCCCCCCAAAAAATCTTTTGAAAGAGATGAATCTTCAATTAGGTGAGCCAGGGAAATGCATGAGATTTTGGAAACGGGGTCATCATTATTCTCAAAAGCTCACGCCCTCTGAACGGCAGAAGGGTGGGGCTCCCATTTCTCCAAGTTGGAAAATGAACTGAAAAACATATTGCCTGAATAATCCAAGGACACATTTTTTCACACAAAGATAATCCATCCCCACAGGCCCAGGGAAGGCGTTGGTCAGAGTTACTAAGACATGTGCAATATATCCAAGAAAATCACGTCCACATAACCAAAAGCTCCACTGATTAAGGACTTAAGATTCCACTAGACTAACTTCTGCCAATGCAGATCATTTTTTAAATAAATTTTTATGAGTGAAACACCATGAGGTACAGTTGTAGACTTATATAAATAAATTTTTGTGCTTGGGTTTCAATTATACAATGATTGAGTACCCATCCCTCCACCAGTGCCCATTTTCCACCACCATGGATAATATCCCTCCCACTCCCATCCCTCCATCCCACCCTGCCTCTGTGGCAGGGAATTCCCTTTTGTTCTCTCTCTCCTTTTGGGTGCTGTGGTTTGCAAAAGAGGTATTGAATGGCAATCATGTTCGGTCTATAGTCTGCTTTCAGCATGCACCTCCCATCCTTGGAGGATCCTTCCATCACTCTTTATTCAGTGCTCCCTTCTCTGTCTGAGCTGCCTTTTCCCCTAGCATGTGCGACTGGCCTCCAAGCCATGGAGTGAACCTCCTGGTACTTATCTCCGCTATTCTTGGGTGTTAGTCTCCTACTTTGTTACTTTATATCCCCCAGATGAATGCAATCTTTCTATGTCTGTCCCTCTCTTTCTGACTCATTTCGCTTAGCATGATACTTTCCATGTTGTACCACTTGTATGTAAATTTCATGACTTCATCTTTTCTAACAGCTCCATTGTGTTGATGTACCAAAGTTTCTTTAACCAGTCATCTGTTCTCTGGCACTCAGGTTTTTTCCAGATTCTGGCTATTGTAAAGAGTGCTGCAATGAGCAAACAAGTAATGCAGATCATTTTAATCCTTTCAGATTCTTTCAGATTCACAAACATGCTTCGCTTACTGTTTCCCTGGAACATTAAAGAGGAATCCTAGTTGGCGGGCAGTGTAGGAATAGACATCAATCATTTAGCCAATGTGAAGGATGAGAGACTACCTGCCTCTTCAGGCTTTTCCTCCAGACAGGGGCCGTGTTTGGGGCTGTGGCTGCTTCCTGGTCTTGTCCCTCACTGCTAAGAAAGTGATGGTAGGATTACCTCAGCCTTTCTCTCTCCCCTCAATTGAGGAGCCTCAATTGAGGCATAAAGGGGAAACTGGCAGCCACAATTATCAAAAATACATCTAAGAGGGGGGCAGAGAAATAGTACTGCAAGCAGGACACTTGCCTTGTATAAGGCAGACCTGGGTTTGATCTCTTAAGCTGATCTCCAGATGTGGCAACCAAACCAAACCAAACCAAACCAGAAATGTATATCAAACTTCACTTTCACAGTATAAGGGATAAGGGCTTGCCTTGTATGTGACTGACCTTAGTGATTCCTGGCACCATGGAGGATCCCCTAAGCATCGCCAGGAGTGACCGCTGAGCCAGAAGTGGCCCTGCGCACTATTGGGTGCCTGGTACCCCCTCAAACTTTCACACATAGTCTCTGTGGCATCTGCCTTGATACCGAAGGCTTTCCTTTCCTTCCTTCCTCCCTTCTTTTTCTTCCTTCTGCCCATCCTGTCTTATTTTAACTAGTCCAGTTATGGAGATTTGGGCATTTTCTTACTGAAAATTGACCGTCATTTTGTTGTTGTTGTTCTGTTATTGTTTTGGCCATACCCACTGATGCTCAGGGCTTACTCCTGGTGGTGCTTGGGGGACCTTATAGGATGCCACTGTATGCAAAGTAAGTGTTGACCTACTGTACTGTACAGCTCCAGTCCTGAAACTGATATTCATTAAGAGAATAAACAAAGCACCTCCCAAATTGCACCCAAGGACCAGTGTCCCAGATCATTCCTGTGCCTTGGGGGTGCAGTGGGGAAGGAGAGCATGTGGGGGGCAATATTACTCACTGGAAATAAATATGATAATTTTCAAGGTTCACCCCACTGAGGACTGGCTGATTCTGTGATCCTGGAAGCGTATGTGTTTCCTGCCTGGGATGAGTCTATTGCTAAAGCACCACCAGCGCCCACTGTGAACCTGTGCTCCTGGCCACGGGACGAGACCCCTTTAATCATGGTCATTTGGGCCCCATGCATCGTGGGCTTTGTTCACTAACCTTGAGTGTGAGACCTTCTGAGAAAAGCCACAGGGACTGAGCAGAAGAACTTCCCTGGGTGATGGTGGCACAGGGGACATTCCCTCAGGAACAGAACCTGGGGGTGCTCCCAGCCACGCGAACATCACTGGGATGTGTCAGGGCATGGGAGTTGAAACACTAAACTTGGGTGGGTGGGTTCTTTTGGGGCCACACCCAGCAGTGCTCAGGGGACCATAGGGGGTGCCAGGGATCCAAACTGGCCCTGACAGGTGCAAGACAAGCATCTTTCCCTCTGAACTCTCTCTCTCTTTCCAGCCTCCAAACACCCAACTTTTCATTATGCTTTGCAAAAATATCAATTAGTTCATATTTCTTACCTGGACATGAATATTCATTTAGACATGAAGGAACTGTGCTTTTCTAAATCTTTCCAACCTGGAGATTTTTTAAAAGCCACATCAAGCCTTTTTCATCCCTCTCAGGCCTGCAGAGGGGAGTCACTACTACACCTTGTCCTTTCTGCCTTGGGGAGCTGGCCTTGGCTTGCTCCCTGACCCCCACAGCTGTTTCTAGCATCAGGGATGCAGTCTGGGCTCACCCAGCGGGCTTTGGAGAAAGGATTCCCCAAGGCAGTTGGCAAAGGCATGAGACAAGAACTGTTTCCTATTTTTTAATGTTCTTTTCTCCCGTGGGGAACTTTCAGCTGGAACTGTGTGACGCCCCAGACGTCTAATACCTCAGCTCCATCTGTGGGTCTGCAGATGGACCACCATGCTCGAGGCGGACCCTGCCCAGGCTCTTCACAAGATCAACTCAAGCGGGGGCTCCTGGAGGCCCCTCGAATGCTGTAGCCTGGTGTCACGGTACCTGGATTGGGAGGTGACATGGCGGCAGCCCAGTAGCCCAGCTGTGGGGCGATGTATGTCCACGTCAGCTGGCTGCCCTCCTGGTGCACGAGACCCAGACCGCTCTTCAGCCACGTTCCTGCAGACAAAGCAGAAAACACCTCAGCTCAGGTCCGGCCAGCACCCCCTCAAGGGCATTTGAGTGTGAGCCACTGGTGGTACATGCTGATATATGTTCAGTGAACAGCTCCTAAATGTGGTCGGTTTTTATCCTTTTTTTTTGTTTGTTTTGTTGGTTTTTGGATATTAGGGTGTTTGTCAAGTCTCCTAAGATGGGGGTCGCTGGACTCATTCCCTAAACTCAGAACACAGGATGAATGGGTCTGGGCAGAGGTGAAATTCTCGGTTCCAAATGAGAGCCGGAGCACGGAATTGCTGTTTCCTCCCCAGGAATTGTTTTCCCATGAAATCAGTGAGCAAGAAACACATTGCTAATTAATCAGCAGTCACAGTGTTTGCATGCTGGTCAGTGACCTAACCCTCCTCGCTCGGCAGAGCCAAAGTGAGCTGTCCTCTCCGAATGGATTCTTCTAGCTTATGGCAAGCTCTGTTCAGAACTGGTCGAGACAACAATCTGTCAAGGGAAACTCACTGCAACCAGCCACCTTCTATTGGAAGCATCAGATCACAGATATGTTAAATTATTAAAACTCAAAGCAAGCAGTCGCTCGGCATTTGGCAGTGATATGTTCCCTGGGTATTTTCAGGATGATTTTGAAAAAGTCTTAAAAAAACGTGATCTAAGTGGCCGATTGTTTTTCCCCCACTCCAAGCTCGCTGTACCTGAACTCTCAAAGACTTACTGAAACAAGTTCCATGGAAGAGCAGAGATGGGAAGCATCGAGATTCTGGCCGAGCTGTAGAAAGCAGTTTGCCATGAACGGCTGGAAGTGTTATGATGACAGAGGGCAGCGTTAGTGACATTTAGTGAGACAGAGCGCTCTGAATTTACAGTAGGTATTGATACATTTCCAGAATTTAGTTATGAGACCCTAGTCCCCGACATTAGGAATCTCACCTAAATGAAGGTTCGCGTAACACAGAAGTTTGCAAACATGTGGACTGAAGTGGCAAGGCGCCCTATGCCAGAGCTTGTTAAAGAGCTTGTTAAGTAGAACTGTGGCGAAGAGGTGGGTTGTGCACTCAGTGGGTCTGGAGGCAAAATACCAGAACCCACAGTTCTCGTAAGACACTCATCGGCCATTTGGGTAGTGAAGCTCTAAACTATTTGCATTCTTCAGTGTGTGTGTGAATGTGTGGTGTGTGTGTGTGTATGTGTGAGTGTGTGTGTGTGTGTGTGTGTGTGTCTGTGATTCTTTTAGAAAATCCAGTTGGCCACGGGTGACAAGTTGGGGGCCGGAGTGAATGGGTGCTGGACCCGTCCTGGAGACTAGGGGGACAGTGGTTGGACAGGGTGGGAGGTTGGGTCCACAGGAAGGAAATAAGGTGGGAAGGGGTCAAAATCAGAGAACAGTTAAAAAATGCAGCATAGAGTGACAGACTTGCAGGACAAAGTCAAGTCACTAAGTGGGGGCTTCAAATTCAACAGAGTGGGTGGGAGATGCAATCTTGTCTCTGAAAATTCCCGTGGGGTGGGAGGCACAGGCTGCACTCACGAAAGACTGAGCGGGCTTTAGGGATGGCTGGCCCAGTGGAGATTATTTCTGCGTTGCTAGGCAACAGGGCCAACAAATGTCCGCTGTGATATGAGGTCACTGCGTTCTGCTTGTCCTCCCTGCGGGCGGCACCTCCACCCTGCCCCGCTCCCCCGCACTGGGTTGCGTGGCCACACAGGTGACTGGCATCTAGCTGCCTGCTCTGCCCCCTGGCTCTCTGGCCCGGGCATCCCCACTGCATTCTGCTCGGGGATCACATCCATCAGGGCTTGACCTGACCCCCTCCTACACGCTCATGAACGCTCACTCGGCTTATGTCTCTGTGCCGTGCAAACATCCCCACCTCTGTCTCTGCAGTGGTCCTGGGGAGCTGTCCCCCCCCTCAACCCCTCACCCCTGCCCCAGCTTTCTGAAGGCCGATTTAAAGCATGCTCAGACAGCAAGCTCTGCTTCCTTTCACGCTCACATTCCTAACACATAGCCCCATCTTCCTGCAGAGACACACGGCCAGGTGCGCAACCCAAACACCAGTGCCAGGGGTCGCGGAGATAGCTGAAAGGGCTGGAGCACTGACTTCCGTGCAGACCCCTGATTCTCAACCCCTCCAAGGCCCCAGCCAGGTGTGGCCCAGGTGGAGCACTGCTGGGAAGCGCCCCCTGCCCCCCAAGCCCACATCCAGATAAAAATGATCCAATCAAATGAACTGACCACCTCAGGTGTAAGGGGACCCCTCACGGCTAGAGCTGCTGGTTCTGATTCTTCCCCCAGACACAACACCTGTCACAGTGACTCAGTTACCCCCTCCAGGTTGCTATCCGTTGCCCTCTCTCTTGGCAGCCACCTTGGGACAGAGAGGAAAAGAGCAGCTGTTTTCATTTTCTTTTTTTCGAGGGGGGGGGTGGTCCACGTGCTCTGAGGCGACTCCCCAGCTCCATGCTTGGGGATGCGCCAAGCAGTGCTGGGGTGGGCAAGACAAGTACCTGGAGGACTGTGAGAGTCCCGGGATTGAACCCGGGTCTCCCGCATGCAAAGTGAGTGCCCAGCCCCTTGAGCTGCCTCTGTAGCCCCCTTTTTGTTTGCTTGACTCTGTGCACCTCATTCTGCACCTGCCTCGCGGAGGACAGTGGGGGAGGGGAGAGATCTCAAGTCTTTGTCCTGTGGGAGGTCCCTCGGATGAGGGGGGGGTAGGTCAGCGGCCATGGCCCTGCAGTCCCATCTGTCTTGGGACACAGCAGCAGAGCTCAATATGGCTCCTTCGGGGTGGGCTGGCACCGGCTCTGCCCTGGATGGGAAGCCATGACGGTTCCCTCATTTCTACAGTGATGCCCGGAGCCGGGATTGACTAGGGCACTGCGTTTGGGTGGTGCATCTGTTCCTGCAGCTCCATGAGTATGAAAGAACACAGGATCTAGGAATCTCGGCTCCAGGTCAGGGGCCGACGGGGATTCCAAGCGGCATCCGTGGCTCTGGCCAGCCGGTCAACTTTCTATTCCAACCACAGACTAGCTTGGCTTGTTGGAGACTGCCCGGGCCCCAGGGCTGCCAGCAGAGTCCAGACTGACCACCTGGCATAGAGCGGGGAGCCGTCTGCTGCCCCACTTACAGGTTAAGGGCAGGGAAGGTCAGGGATGCAGCCGGCTAGCCGTTGCCGAGTGGTCTTGATCTGGCCAGCGGGTGCTCACTAGCCAGGACTGTGGAAGTGAGAGGCCCCGGGACCCACCTGGGGTGAGTGTAAAGGAGCACGCATCCACTCGAGCCCGTCTCGCCGAGTCTCTGGGACAGAGGCTGCAACTTCCTTCGTCCCAGAGGATGAGGCTGCAAAGGCTGCCACCGGTCTCTCTGGGAACGGTCCCAGCCGCCCTGTCGAGTTCTGTCCATACCCAGCCACATGCAGCGCACTGGCTCCGCCCGGCTGTGGACCTGCACTTGAGGCTATGCTTGTGGGGAGCCCTGGGCTGGAGGGGCAGTGCAGGGGCCAGGGCGCTTGCCGTGCACGTGGCTAACCCCTGTTCAGGCCCCGGCAGGAGTGATCTCTGAGCGCAGTGAAGATAAAGCCCTGAGCACAACCGGGTGTGGGACCCCAGTCTCAGCTGTCCGTGTGGGGGAGCCACACCGTGGGCCCCCAGTCTCTGTGGTCAGGCGGGGAAGCAGGACCGCAGGTCCTCTAGTCTCTGCTGGATGTGTGGGGAAGCCGGATCGCAGGCAGATGGCTGGTGGGTTCTTGCGCCAGCATCCTGGCCCCAGGGAGCTTCTGTCATAGCGGGTGATGACTGATGGGCCTCATTTCTCACGTGAGGAAGAGCGGCCAGTCACACAGCGCTGTGGGAGTCTGAGAGATAGCACAGGGCCTGGGGCTGACCCGGGTTCAAGCCCCAGCACCACATTCCGTCCCCGGAGCCTTCCCAGGAGTGACCTCTGAGTGCAGAGCCAGGAGGAAGCTCTGAGCATCACTGGGTGTGGCCTCCAAACCAACCCAAACCAGACTGAAGTGTGGTGAGTGGTAGTGTCCTTCTCATGGGGACTCGTAGGTCAAAGGGGCACCCCCGGAGTCCCTTTGGAAGGGCACTAACCCCTCCCTGGGCACTGTCCTCACTACAGAGCCTCTCCTTGTCCCAGCAGAGTGGGGACAACACAAGACACATTTATTGATTTTTTTTTTTGGGGGGGGAATTCACATTTGAATTTCTTATAATTGCAGGGGTCAGGAAATACTTTTTTTTTTAAAAAAAATTCTTTCACTTTTTCTGTTTGGTCAATTCTTTCTCTTGGGTTTTGGGGCCACACCTGACTGTGCTCTCCATGCTCAGGGATCACTCCTGGAGGTGCTCAGGGGGACTGAATGTGGTGTCAGAGGGTGGAGGGGGATAGAACTAGGTCGGTTGTGTGCAAAGTAAGTGCCCCACCCACGTTCCGGCCCCGTCTCCCATATTTCAAAGTGTAAAAAGTCACTCTCAGCTTTCAGGCCAGTTTGCCACCCCACAGATGGAAGATTCTTCATGGGTGTCTGCGTAATTTCTGGCAGGTAACTCCTTGAGCACTGCAATTACTTTAATCTGCTTCATCAGTAGATCATTTGAAGTCTTAAACTAGCTTGACATGATGATCACCTTCAAATTAATCATAACTGGCAGCTAATTAGGAAATAGTGTTATATGTCAAAGAAGTAGTCCTATTTTTTTCTCTCTAATCTGATAAGATGGACTCAGAACTTTTCATTTAATTGAAATAATGTAATTTATACTGAAAGCAAAAGCATTACTATTTAAATATAATGATAGTTAAAAAAAAAACACCTTTAAAACTATGCGCTTAAAGAACAGAGTGTTTCTCTGGAACATCTCTTCAATCTTAAAGTTTCCATATCTTCTAATTCATTTGGTTATTTTGGATGCCCAACATTTCCTCTGCACTCAGACAATCTGTTGCTGGCGGGGATTTGGTAGTTTGCCCACCGGAGAAGTTGAGTTACAAAGACTGTTGGAATCACACAGTGACTTCCCAGCAGCAAGCGGCTCAAAGTCCCAGGGATTTTTTCCAGAGATGACAGAACTTGATGACATTTCAGAGACCCATTGGGAACATTTTGATACCTATGACATTCACTTCCTAGTGCTCCAGCCATAAATCGCTCTGAGTTTTAGGGACTTAAAACAGTTTTGCATTTTTGCTCCCCTCGGGCTGAGGTTTTGCTGGGCCAAAGTCGAGGGCTCACTCTGAGAGACCCCCTTTCCCTGCTTTCTTCACCTCCTGGCCCTCGCTCAGGACCCCCCAACCCTTCTCAAGGTGCCTCTCCAGTTCCGCCTCTGCCTGCATCTCCTCCTGGACACCACGGCTGGGGCGGTGCAGAGGAAGCAGCAGCCTCAGACGGCAGGACCCAGTGACACCTGCAAGGTTCCATGCCGGGTCAGACTCCCTGGGCCCGGGGGTAAGGCCGGGTGAGACATGATCCATCAACTGTACATGTCTGAAAGGGTATTGCAGGGATTCTGCTGGGAATTAGACACAAAATAAACCAACGGGAGCTGGCAAGTAGCATTCACTGGTGACTGTCATCTCTCTGCGTCACATGTCACATGCACAGTCCTTGAGGAGACTGGATCTAAATTCTCCTCATCTATCCTCAAAGCTCCACTCAGGTGCTGAGAAATGGGTCAGTCTTTCCCTTAACCACAGCCCTGGGCCATCCCAGGACACCCATCCTGGGGTGCTGGGGCCAACGGGGGGTGCTGCGGAGATGCAGAACACATGGCACAAGCATCTTCCCGCCCCCCGCCCCCCAACCATGAGGCTAAGCTTTGTGCCCAGGGCGGTAAGCTCTGAAGAGCAGTGCAGGGGGCTGGAGCCGCATGTGAGTCCCTACACTGTCCCCCACGGCACCACTGCAGGGACCCTTGGGCACAGAGCCAGGAGTAGGCCCTGAACAACTGCCGGATGTGACTCACAAATGTTGAATGAAAAAATAAAAAGACTTCAAAAGAGTAGAGCTGGGCCCTTACCAGTATGCGTGAGCCATGCGTGACAGAGCTCTGATTAGAAATACGGTCAAATACTGTGGGTGGTGTACCCTGTTCTTTGCTTTGATAATTTTTGGGGGCAGTACTCAGGGGCTACTTCCTGCTCAGGGTTGGGGTTATTCTCAGTGTTGCTCAGGGGACCAGGCCTTGGCTCCAGGGAGGGAATCTGGGCCTCTTAACTGCTGACCTGTCCCTCCGGCCCATCTCTCTATCGATCCAGGGGTCCCCCCCAGCTGTGTTCAGGGGCCACCAGAGTCACACTTGCGGCTGTGGGAAGTAGACATGAACGTGGGTCTCTACGTGCTAAGGCTGTATTCTGGCTCTTCAAGTCAACTCCCCAGCTTCTAAGCACTCCCCTCCCCCATCTCCCTCCCTCCCCCCTCCCCACTCCCTCCCTCTCTTTCTCTCCTGCTGGCCTTGTCTTCCTGTTTTCCTAAAGCCAACAAAGAGGTAAGACCAAGAGGGTTCTCTGACCTTCTCAAGAAGAAGAGGATAAAGATAGAAGAGCCTATTTTAGTTTTAATAGCCTCTGACCATTCTTGGCAGAGAAATGAGCAGAAAGTACAATAGAAGTCCAAGGAGTGTGCCTGAAGGTGCCTGGGGTCTGCCCCCTCTGTCCCCTCCTCCCCACCCCCACTGTGGTCAGGGGATGTACCCGCAGCCATGGGCCTTGCTTACCCAGTTTCTGATCAAACCGCCATGCGGCCACGTAGCCATTGTGTCTCAGGCTGCTGTGCGTGGACAGTGGCACGGTGACGTACATGGGCCCATCCACCAGCACTGGCGTCCCATCGCTGCCCAGCAGGTGCACACTGACGGCTGTGACAGGCGTGAGGTCATGCCGGGTGCCATTCCCTGGAAGGAAGAGGCATCTCGGTCACACTTGTCACAGACCCGGGCAGCAGGCGGGATGGGCTGTCTGTGAGCGGACAGGCCGCTGGGCCCCGGGCTATGCCAGCACGCCCCAATCTCACCCCCACGGGGGTCTTCGAAGGGACCCTCAGGGATCAGAGGATCTGTGCAGTCAGTGCTGGGCTGGCTCTGAGCATCTGTGAAGGGAACCAGAACCCGGGGAAAGGTCTCCCGTGCAGGGCGGGTCCCCAGACCCACTGGGGTCTGTGGCCAACCACTACTCAGAGACCGGATGCTGTGAACGAGACTATCTGAGGGCCAGAAGAAGAGGCTGGGGCTGTCTCAAGCGGGGCTTCCAGAGATGAACTCAGGCCTCCTAAAAGTCAATAACCAAAAATTCGGACTTGAAATATTTATGCTCTTTCCGTGGCCACTGTTTCTCGGATGGGTTTAGAGGGAACTTAATACATCGATCATTCCACATTAGAGGCCTTTTATCCGAGCTAAAGCTTAAATGACTGTCTCCTTTCCAGATAACTTTGGGGGTGCTTACGAGTGTGATATTATATTTATACACTTAAGCAATCCGCTTTAGAAAAAATTCCCTCTCTGGGGAAATCTAATATCACACAAACTCGATTCTGTCATGATTTAAAATCTTTTCTTAACCCCGACAAGGAAAACACAGTGACAAACCATGAATGCTAAGCTACCTTTGCCCACAGAGTTTCTTAGGATGCCACGGGTGTACTGACCTGCCCATCTAATTAGCCCAGCTAATGCAGACCCCCCTGGGGATGAAGGAGAACTGGAAGCGTCCAAAGGAAACCCGGCAAACTGAGAGCTTCAGTTCTCTGCAGAGCAATTCCTGACAGCTGATGCCAGCCCAACTGCTGACACATTCATTCCCGCCTCCGTTTCTCAGCGTGAGGAGAGGCACGGGGCGGAGGGCGCAGTCACCTACACGTGGCCACCACCAGTTCAAGTCCAAAGCCCGGACACTCCATTTCAGGGGAAGGAAACCGCGACGCGGCATCTGCCAGGATTCAAGGGGACCCGGCTCTGGGGACCCGGGCAGCACAGGGCAGAGCCAGGCTCTCAGCTCTGCCCCTGCTCCTGTTAAGCTGCTCCCCGAGGGCACGGATGGGAGCTGGGACAGGAGGTACCCGAGCTGCCCTGGCATCCACCACCCAGAGCCCGGGGTTCCCAGTCGGCAGCGCTGTGCCCCAGGCAGTTGCGTGAGCCAGAGCACAGCGGGGATGGTGCCGAACGCTCTGAAAACTCCACGTCCACCTCTTCCTCCCATGTCACTCTGCTCGGAGACCCCGAGCTGGCGTCCCGGAACCCCCCACCTGGTTCCAGGGCTCAGCTCCCACACCCCTGGCCCCGGCATTTGGCAAGTTTCTCCCGGGATTTTTCTGACCTGGGATGCTGGGGAGGCAGGACTGGCTGCTTCCTGTGAGTCGGCTGGGCTTGGGGGAGCAGGCGGACACGCTGGGATGGTCCAGCAAAGCCGTGTGCTAGGCCCACGCGGCGGAGGGGACTGTGCAGAGTGCTCGCCAACGCTCGGAGCCACCGCGGGCTCACGCCAGCTCTCTGGGGACTCTTTTCCTCGCTGGGTACGCCCCTGAGTCAGACTTCTGCTCCCCCGCCCCCTCCTGCCGTCCCTCCCCCGGAATGAGTCACGCTCGGAAGGGTCCCGGCTCAGCTTCCAGTCTTTGTGGACAGGCTGTCGCTGGTTGCAGAATGTGGAGTCCTCTGTATGTCCTTCCGTGACATAAAGTCACTGAACACAACCCCCCACCCCCACCCCCCAGCCCCAGGGTCGCAATCAAAGAGGCAGCAGCCAGGGCAGTGGGCAGGGGCAGCTCGGAGCTCTGAGGGTCTCCTCCGGCTCTGCCTTCCGGCACCAGCTCTTCCGGCTGCGGCCATGGCCAGCCCAGCTGCCGTGCAGGGTCCCCTTCATCTTCCTGGAGTCACGAGCAGTAGGAACAGCCCGAAGCCCTCGGGGAAAGCCCCAGGGCAGATACGAGGTGGGAGGGGGGTGTGGAGTTATGAAGGGGTGGGGGTTCGACAGGGGCTGCGAGTATATAGTCAGAGGGGTGGGCACACAGGGGCTGCCGGGGAGCTCAGACTGTGTGTTTACTGGGTCACACCCACTGATGTTCAGTGGTCACTCCTGGCTCTGCACTCAGGAATCACTCCTGGCGGTGCTCAGGGGACCATATGGGATGCTGGGGATGGAACTTGGGTCCGCCGCCTGCAAGGCAAAAGCCCTCCCTGCTGTGCTATGCTCTGGACCTGGCCCAAACTCTTTTCTAAACCGAAGCCTTGATTTATTTTTCTGCAGTGGGGTCCCCTTGGCAGTGCTCAGGGCTTACTCCTGGCTTTGCACACAGGGATCATCCTGGCAGTGCTCAGGGGACCATATGGGAAGCCAGGGATCGAACCCGGGTCTGCTGCCTGTAAGGCCTGTGCCCTCCCTGCTGTCCCGTGGCTCTGGCCCCGCTGCTGCAGCCACTCCTACCCCCGGAGGCAGCTGGGTGCAGGGTCAGCCCCATGCCCTGCTTCCATCGGCTGGGCCCCCTTTCCCGGCCCACTCCGGGTGGGTCTGTCTCTAGGCCAAGGAAGACGAAGTTATTTCAGGAGAGGAGTTTCCTGTCCTCCCCCAAACACCCCTTCGGTCGGCTGGAATAACAGAGAGATCACAAAAGAAGGCAAATGCCCCTCGGATCAATAGTCCTGTCCTCTTCCCCCCATTGTCTTCAATTTCATCATTTATTCAGGAGCCCCTGGGAGTGGGGTACAGGAAGCAGCGTGAACTGCAGAGGGCGGAGGGTGTCCAGCTGGGCCGGCGTGTTGCACCACTGTTCCATGGCAGGCTGCTGGGGTGACGACAGCTTTGGGCACCCAGGACAGGGCTCTCCTCTCCTGAGGAGGACACTGAGGCCTCAGCTGCCACACTGCCAGGCAGAGCTGAGAGGGGAGGAGAAAGGTTTGGGGACCCAGGGCTCCAGGAAGGTGAAAGCAATCACTGCTCTGGAACGAAGGGGAGGGAGGTTCAGGTTTCAGGAGTTTCCAAACAGCTCATTCAGGAGGAGCCTCAGTGAGGTGAACATCAGTGAGTCTCCCCCAGAAACTGCTGCCACCTCCAGGCTGAGCCCAACCTCTGGGTTAGTGCTGGGGTGGGGGGGCGGTGGGGACGGGGAACACCAGCCGGGAGGGTCATGCCGGCAGACCCTGGCTCCATGTGGAGGGCTCTGAGAGCCGCCTCGGAGGCTCTGTGTGCAGGGGTGCGGATGCCCGAGCCCCACTTTCCAAGAAGGGTTTCGGGCACCCCCTCCAGACCATGCCTTTGCGTCTCCCTGATACCTGATCATGGTGAACCAAGGTGGGGTCCAGCAACCAGCCGGGCTTAGGGGTGCCAGGAAAGAATCAAACTCAACTTCAGAGCGTCTTAGGTGGAAGCCGAGGGGCAGGCAGGGCCCCTCGGACCCCCCCTCCCACCCCATGCTGTGTGCATTCTGAGTCCCCTCTGGCTCCCACTGGCCGGCGGATAGGGCTAGGCAGGCCCCTGCTCCCGGCCAGACAGGGTGGAAGGGTAGGTGCACGCTGTCCGGGGTGGATGGAGGCTGTGAAGAAGGCTGCAAACCTCTACTGCGAGGCTCCCAGGGCACAGGAAACCCCACCCCAAGGCAAAGAACAGGCTCTGAGCTTCTGCCCTTTGCAAGGAGGGTTCAGGCAGCCAGCACGCAGCACCGCAGAGCCCACCAGCACGCACGCACGCACGCACACACACTGGCAGCCCTCGGCGCTGACCCCGGGTCCCTTATCTCTTCCTCTCTGGGGGGCACCCCTTCCCAGCCCCAGCCGCGGCAGCGGTACCTGTGCTGTTGCCATCCAGCCCGCGCAGGTAGGGGAAGCTGTCCACCTCGGCGGGGCTGCTGGCGGCCGTGAGGAAGGCGGTCAGGTCGCTGTAGCTGGTATTGTCAGGCAGGTGCAGGGCGCGCCGCTGGAAGTGCACACGGGGCTGCGGCCGGGCGCCTGCGGGAGGATGGGAGCACCCCAGCCGTGAGCGCCCCGCCAGAGGGTGGGAGCCACCCTCTCCCCACGCCCCCACCCCTCCCCCCCCGCCCAAGCAGGACACAGAGATGTGACAACACGCTATTATGGGGACAGAAATAATAGCCCATTGTCACAGGAGTTTTGACACGGGATGTGATTTTTTTTTTAAAGAAACACTTTGGGGAGTGCTATTTGCGACTCCTACTTCCACTGCAGGGGGGGTCTTGCCTCTAAATGGGGGGGAGGGAAGAAGGTCAGAGAGCCAGGCAAAGGGGGGTGAACAGTTTCCTTAGTCAGATGAGGCCAGGGGTGCTTTTTTTTTTTTAACTTTTTGGGTCACACCCGGCAATGCACAGGATTATTCCTGGCTCTGCACTCAGGAATTACTCTTGGTGGTGCTCGGGGGACCATATGGGGTGCTGGGAATTGAACCCGGGTCGGCCGCGTGCAAGGCAAACGCCCCACCCGCTGTGCTATTGCTCCAGCCCCCAGGGATGCCCTTTGCATCTTCCATGTTCCTGGTAAAATCCAGTTGAAGGGACTGTTGTGACAGCATGGGGGGAGTTGCAGGAGGCCAGCCTAGGTTCGATTCCCGGCAACCCATATGATCCCTTGAGCCCACCCCGGAGGGAATCACTGAACGCAGAGCCAGGAGTGCGTTATGAGCACCAGTGGGCACAGACCCCAAATAAACAGCAACAAAAAGATCCCGCTGAGAATCACCCCCTCCCCGCCCCCAGCAGCCCAGGCCAGGGGTGGACGCCACAGCCTGACCGAGAAACTCCCCCAGCACAAACCCCAGTTTTCCTTTGGCCTCTTCAGAAGAGACCCTCACATGCACCCCGTGTGGAATGAGGGTCCCCTGAGCAGCCTGGAGTCTTTCCATGGGGCGGGAGGGCACCTTCCAACCCCTTTGCCCCCTTCGAGGCTTCAGCTAGATTGTAAAAAAACCTCACCTTGCTTTTTGAGCCTAGTGCTGCGGTGTCAGTAACAAGATGCCAAGCTGCAACGCCCGTGTGCTGTCCCAGCACGCACACCGCAAAGTGAGCAGAAACGGGAGGAAGACCGCTAATGGGCCATCGGCCCTGACAGTCCGGCTATCTCAGACCCTCCACTCCAAGGCTTGAGGGAGACCAGGTGCCTTGGCGGCCACCTGGGGGCGCCTTCTCCTCACCCACATCTGACCAGGGCGATGATCCCTAATTGGGCCCCGATTCCTATAACCTCTAATAAGGAACTTCCAGATGGTGACTGAGCCAATGCAGTGTTCTAGAACCCAGGGACCGACCTGCCCATTCTTTGTCCTTGTGGATGAGCTCACAGAAGCCCTGTGGCTTAGAGAGTCTGGGGGCGGGGGGCGGGGAGGGAGGCCCAGGGCTGGGCTGGGAGCCATCTCGGGTCCCTGAAACAACACTTGCCTTCTGCATGGACTGGCCCTGTGCTCCACGGCCCATGGGCGGAGGGGAGCCTGGGCCGGAGGTCACCATCGAACTGTGACCACCTCTACTGGGACTCGCTGGCCGGGGTCCTCCCGGGCCTCCCCGTCGCTGCTCTCAACCCTCTGGCACTGTGATCTGCCTCCAGAGCGTCCCCACTGGCTCCCGGGGTGCTACCCGCCCTCCGGTTGGCCCCTGCTGTCCGCCCACGTCGTCAACCCCTGACAACAGTCACCGACTGTCTCCAAGGTATGGGGTTTGCTGAGGCTTTTCTCTCCCACCTCCTCCCCCGTCTCCCATCTTGGGGGGTCGGGGGGGTCTGAGAGCGGGAAAATCAGCGCCCGTATCCTCACATCAGGGGCCAGGACAGGGGGTGCTGAAGTGGGTCCAATCCGGTTAAAAGGGTGCAGTGTCTGGAGCCTCCCGGGGATTCTACCTCACGGAAAGTTAGGACCGGATGTCAGTGACTTTTTAAAGAATTAAAGTCAGGGGCTGCAGTGATAGTACAGCAGGGAGGACGTTTGACTTGCATGCAGCCGACCCAGGTTTTAACCCCAGCATCCCATAGGCTCCCCCAAGCACCTCCAGGAGTAATTCCTGAGTGCAGAGCCAGGAGCAAAACCCCTGAGCATCGCTGCGTGGGACCCAAAAAGCCAAAACAAAACAAAAATAAAGAATGAAAGTCAATTGGCCATAGAGAGAGAAAAGGGGAAAGGAACAGTGTGTGCCCAGAGAATAAAGGGGGGGCTGGACTCTTGTGGGCCGAGGCTGGGGACCCCAGACCGCGGATCCCAGGTAGGCAGGTAGGATTCCTGGGAGGGGCTCATCCTTATGGGCACCCCATTACTGCAGGCCACGGGGTGTCTCCTCCCCACCTGGGCCCGGCTCTGCCCCTCCCGGGCCTTCCCCCACCTCTGTCATATCCCATGCATCAGTGGGCTGAGACCTCCAAATGCGGGGGAGGGGTCGCCTGAGGGCTGGGTGAGCCCCCCGTTGGCAGCTGGAAGCCCAGACACGCTGTCCATGGAGCACAGGCAGGACAGCCGCGGTGGGAGTGACCACGGGTTCGATCAGCGACCTGCACCAGCCTACTGCGTGTCCACACACAGGCCAGTGACGGGTAGCGAGGGCAGGGGAGAGTGACCACCTGCAGCTTGTTTGGATGTCGCTCGACCCCCACTCCCCATGGCACCGGCTTCGACTTCCTCTTTCCTCCCGTGACTTGGGCTCAGGCCCACCCACCTGGAGCTGCCCCCATCCCCCATCCTCTCTCCACACGTGCAGCTCTCCCCCTTCCCTCTCTTACGTCTTCCTGGCTGAACCCAAGTCCCTGCAGGCGGCTGCCTGAGCCTCAAGACTTAGCCGTGAATGCAGCTCAGCGGCAAAGCACCAGCTGTGCATGCTCAAGACCTGGGTTTGATCCCCAGCACCGCCACACACCAAAATGGGCAGCAGGGTTTGGCCCCACGGGCTCTTCCTGCCCGGTCGAGGGCCTCTTCCTCCCCACCAGCACGCACCCCGTCTCCTGCCTCAGGGATCTGAGCCATCAAACGTTGCCTGGGGGTGCTAGAGAGATGGTGGGGGAGGGACTCGTGCCACGCACCCAGCGCCTCCAGTCCCACCTCCATCACCAAAGAGGGTTCTTGAGCCCCATGAGGAAACCCCTGAGCACAGAGCCAGGAGTCAGTCCTGAGCACAGAGCGAGGAGGAATCGGCCCTGAGCACAGAGCCGGGAGTGAGCCCTGAGCACAGAGCCAGGAGTCAGTCCTGTGAGCACTGCCGTGTGGGACCCACCCTTATCCCTAAAGAAAACCAGGATAGGGCTCAGGAATCCCCACACACAAATGCCTATTCTCTCTCTCTCCACCCCCACCGTGCTGTGACGTGGCTGGTCCTTGGCCACGTGCCACCTTGAAATGTCAACTGACGGTGGTCAACGTCCAGCCCCGTGACCCACTCTCTGACCTGTGTCGGTGACCTCACCACAATGGGCCACTCTGTTCCCACCCCCGCTGGGGAGTGCCCTCCTCCCCAGGCATGTACCCGCGCCCCGGCCCCCACCTCTGGATCAAACGCTTCCCACAGGGCTTCTGGACTCTCTCCCCAGGGGATGCCCCAGCTGCCCCCTTCACCTCCAGCCAGGACCCTCATCCCAGCTCCTCATCTGCTAGACCACCTGCCTCAGGGTGCCCAGCGAACACTGCAGGGTCACCCCACCTTCTCCCTCGCTCAGCGTCTTCATTTCCCCTATAGCCCGCTGGGCTTGCACCCCCTGCTGCTCCCCGCCCCCCCCCCCCCCCCCCCCCGGGCAGGTAGGACACGGCAGTCTTGGAGCCCAGCCCTTCTCCCCTCTCCTTTCCCAGTGTCACACAGGTTACCTCTGCCCGGGGGCCAGGGCTGCCCCCACCCTGACCACCTTTCACCCTCCAGTAACTCAGGGAGTGTGGAGGCATGGGGGTCTGCCATGGCCCGGGGCCGGAGTCGGGGGCAGCTCCAGGCTTTCGGGCTGGACTCCCGCCAGCCAGGTCCTTCCTCTGGAGGCCTGGAGAGATGGTCAGTGCCCCACCCTCCAGCCCCCACCTACCTTGGAAGCCTGAGACGATCTGGACAACGTCTTCATAGACCATGAGGGTGGCGGGCCGCTCAGGCAGCAGGCCGAGGCTCAGCGATGAGAACACTATGGGCAGAGAGGGCATCAGGGAGCCTGCACTGGACCCAGAGAGACCCATGGGTGCATCCTTTGGGTGCCGCAGAGATGGAGACCCTGGGGTCTCCACGCTGGGCCTGAAGCAGAGCTCAGAAAGCCCTCATCCCCCCACATGACAGAGTGACCCCACATGACAGAGTGACCCCGTATGACAGAGTGACCCCACATGACAGTGACCTCGTATGACAGAGTGACCCCTATGACCAGAGTGACCCCTATGACCAGAGTGACCCCGCATGACAGAGTGACCCTATGAGCAGAGCAGCAGTGGCTCCCTCTGTGTGCGCGGTGCAGAGAGAAGGGCGGAGTTTGCCCCTCCCCACCCGTGGTGCGTGCTCCATGAGACTAGCGTGCAGAGGGGCCTACCTGTTACCCCCATGACCTCGCGATGCATCTCGGAGAGCCTGTGGGTAGGCACGTCCCCCTCTGTGTGCCCTGGGGACACTACACTGCCCACTCCATGGGGACACAGGCTCCCAGCTCTGGGCCTCACCCCAAGCATCTCTTCACTTGGGCATCATCTGTACCCTTAAAGCAGCCTTTGGAACTGAGCCACAAAGCACGGAAGGGGACTTAGAGCCCCGAATGCCAGTCAGGGGACAGCCTGGGCGTTGGGCCAAAGCAGAGGGTAGTTTGCGGCACTGTGATGACTTCCACGGGGAGCCTTGGAACTGAGTCGTTTGTTCTGGGGACACGCCCAGTGGTGCTCAGGCATATCCCGGGTTCTGTGCTCTGGGGTCACTCCTGGCAGTGCTTGGGGGACAGTATGAGTATACATATTTGAGTATGCCGGGATTGGACCTGGGATGGTGCATTCAAGGCAAGTACTCGAACCCCTGTGTTGTCTCTCTGGCCCTGAAGCTTGCAACTTCTAATTACGTGAGTGTGTGACTGTGTGTGAGTTGTTTGTGTGCATGTGTGGGTATATGACTCTCTGTGAGTGTGTAGGAGTCTGTGCATGTGTGTGGTGCCTGCATGTATGAGTGCGTGCATGTGTGTTTGTGAGAGAGTATCTGAGTGTGTTTTGAATATGTATATGAGTGTGTATTTGAGCATATGACTGTGAGAGTGTGTATTTTGAGTATGTGTGTTTGTATACATGAGTGTGTGTATTTGAGTGTGTGACTATGTGAGTTTGTGTGTATTTGAGTATGTGTGTGTTTGAGTGTGTAATTGAGTGTGAGAGTGGGTATCTGTGTATGCATGTGTGAGTGTATGCATGTGTGTATGAGTGTATATGTGTGTATATGTGAATGTAAGTAATGTTTGACTGTGTGTGTACTTGAGTGTGTGAATGCGAGTGTCTGCGTGTGAATGTGTGTGTGTATATTTCAGAGTGTGTGTCTGTATGTATGTGTGTGTGTCTGTGTGTAAGTGTGTGTATATTTTGAGTGCGTGAGTATGTCTGTGTGCCTTTGTGAGTGTATCTGTGTGTGAGTATGTATATTTGAGTGTGTCTGTGTGAGTGTGTATATTTGAGTGTGTCTGTATGTGAGTGTGTGCATGCGAGTGTGTTTGCCACACGAGTGCCTCACTGGGCTTCCCTGCCCACTCTTCTTCCCGGGGCTCCCGGGTGGTCAGTGGTGTCCTTGGCTGCTCCTGCCCCGCCTTACCGGGCAAGCGCACGGGCTTCCATGGGGCCGAGTTGGGGACGTAGGCGTGCTTCGAGGCGGTGACCATTAGTGGAGTGCCCAGCCTGTACTGGAACTTGATGAAGGCGACGCCATCTGTCCCTGAGGTGCCCGAGGCGACGGGCACCTGGTTGTTGAACACCTCGATGAGGGCCTCCGGAATGGGCTGGTGGGTGCTGGCGTCGCTGACGTGGACCTTCAGGGTGACGGCTGCAGGGGAGCAAGTGAGTCAGTGAGCTGTGCGGGGGTGCAGGGCGGGGAAGGGAGGAAACCCCCATGGACCTGCGAGCCTAGAACATGCCCCTGGCGACCACTGGACCAGGTGGGGTTTCCTTCAAACAGCCCTGTCTTGCACTGCCTTCCCCGCCGACAGTCAGGGGAAATGCACCCCCTCTGGGCCCCGGCAGCCAATAATGAGCCCTGGGTCTTTCCGACCAGCAGGAGGGCCGCACGATGGCCCCTCAAGCGGCCCACAAGCCTGTAAGTGAGCAGGCGGGGGCCCCAGTGCTGAGAAGCCATCAGGCCAGTGGGCAGAGCGCTCTCCGTGCATGTGGTGTGACTGACTCTGGCATCCTACACGGGCCTCGAGAACTACTAGGAGGAAGCCCTGCACACCCTGAGTGTGGCCACAAACAAAATCCAAACAAAAAAGCCAGACCAGAAGGGAATTCCCCAGCGCTCTGAGGGGAGGAATGCGTGGGTGTGAAGATGAAAATCCTACAAAGTCAGGGCCAGGGACGTGGCTTAGTGGTGGGGCACATGTGCAACCCTGCCCGGCCAGGGTCCGTCGGAGAGATGACAGACACGGCTCCTTCATAGTGAGGGAGGCACCCCCCCCCCCCCACTTCCTGAAGCCCCCACAGTCACGCCCACGAACATCTTCATCGCCAGGTAAGCTCATCTACCGGCCTTGTTCCAGAAACTCATGAATGAGCCTGCCAAGAGACGAACTAGCTGCTGAAATGTCTCAGACGCTCCCAGCTGAGGCCTCTGGGGTGACTTCAGGAGGGCGCAGGCAACTCCCACCCTACCAAGGCCCCGGCAGCAGCCCCCACACCCCAAAGTCACTCTGGCCAGACTCCATGGCCTCGGAGCTGAGTCTTACAAACTGCCCGGTGAAATATTCTGGATTTTCTCGAGTGTGCGATTGCAAACATCTCCAAACTCTCCAACACTCACATGCCAGGAGGGGCAGATCGGATGGAATGGAACAGAAGCCAAGCAGTCTCGACTAGCCAAAGCAGTCACACAGAAGGCTTCACTTGCAGCAACAGCTTAGCAAACCCTCAGACAGGGCCTTAATGTCCCCATGGTGAGATGCAACAACTTCCAAATTTCCTTCGACGAAAATATATTTTTGATCCATTAACCAGTTAGTGATAACAAGCAATATGAAATACATTACTGTGGGCCTGTTACAGGGGGCGTGCAAGGCCCTCTCCGCACACATGAAGGTACTGGCAGAGGGACAAAGCCACGCGGGTTCCGGGGCCGAGATCTCCAAGCCTACTCGGATTGGAGTCGAGCATCCTCCACCCAGATCCTCCAAATTCCAGTAGGCGGGGGTCACACCCACCACCTGGCCCCCTGGCGCCGTGTAATCCCATCAACGGCCAAGACTAAGAGACTATAAAATCCAGCTCCCGGAACCGCGGGTCAGGACATCTTTTTATGACATCTTATTATCTCATTCCTACTTTGGACAAACTTGCAGGCTATCGAATGTAGCCTGCCCTCAGGGCAGAGTCTGGCAAACTCCCCGTGGCATACCCAATATGCCAAATACCAGTAACAATGATGGGTCTCATTCTCCTAAAGAACCTTGAATATAATCTCAGGGCTAGGATGAAAGAGACGTTACTGGGGCCTGCTCGAGGCAATCGACGAATAACAGGATGATGAATGAATGAATGAATGTTACAGGGGGCAGGCTTGGGGGAAACGGGGACAATGGTGGAGGGAAGGTGACAGTGGTGGTGGGACTGGGGTTGGAGTGCTGAATGCCTGGCACAGTCAATCATGAGCAACTTTGTAAATCATGGTGTTTAAATAAGGTGGTGGAAAAAATTTTTTAAAAAGCCGTATATTGGGAGTCAACTATTAATGCTGGCTCTGTGCTTGCTCTGTATCTCACCCGCACGGCAAAGCCTGGCAAGCTCCCTGTGACGTATTCAAGATGCCAAAAACAGTATCAACAAGTCTCACAATTTGTTGTGAGACATTACTGGTGCCCACTCGAGCAATTCGAAGAACAATGGGAGGAGAGTGCTACAGTGCTACAGTGCTGTGCTTGCTCAGGGGTCGTTCCTGCGGGTTGAGAGGACCACGGGGTGTGAGAGATCGATCTGGGGTCGGCTGCATGCAAGGCAAGGGCCGCAGGAATATGTGATCCCTGTAAAGCAACCCCGATCAGAAACTGCTCCCAGGGGCTGCTGTTCTGTAGGAGTTATAAGATTTTCGCAAGGACAGCGTCCCCTTAAGAGATTCTGGAAGGCTCGGGGAACTGTGAAGCTAATGAGTGCTATTCAGCACATCTATAAAATTAACAGGCACACCTTCGCCAAGCTTTAAGCACCCGCTGGAAGGGGCGAGTGGAACGGTTGCCAGGGAAACTGCTGGCGGGAAGATTCTGTGTGTACACATGGGTGGGCGCGCCTGTGGGAAGACTTGCAGACCTCCCTGCACGTGTGTTTTAAATGGTTCTTTTTTTTTTTCTAGGTGAGGTCAGAGCAAACCTAAATGCCATTTATTCTGAATAAAGCAGGCCTTGGCGGATGATTCTTGAGATGCCCCTTCTCCCTCCAGTAAGAGCTGGTTAGGATGTGCAAAGTGGGAGCATGCAGGGAGGAAAGGGCTCGCTCCTGGCCTGCTGAGGAAAGCGAGGGCCAGAAGTATGAGCACCTCCAGGGTGGCAGCAGAAGGACCAAGGTCCTCACCACAGTAGCGGCTCCCTGGGTACAAAGTGGCAAGATATACACGCACTTCTCTTCCAACAAATGGGAACATTCGAGAAAGGACAGTGAACCGATCAGAGATGTTTCCTGCTGTGGCGGTAGACGTCTGGACATCTCAGGGCACCCAAGGGTCGAGGATGGGGGGTCTGTGTCCAGGCAGGACAGAACCCATGCTTCCTAGTCAGAGGGTCTGGCCTTCGGGATCCTCCAGGAAACAGAGGTGCCCCATGTCTCAGGAGCACTGTCGGGGTGTGAGTGGAGAGCGACGTGTGGTCATGCCAGGCCGTTCCTTCCTGCCTCCCTGCCTGGGTGCCAGGAACCTGACCAGGTGAAGCAGCTCTGGAAGGTGCCATCGTCACCCCGGGCACCCCCTTTGGGGAAACAGGTGACACAGGAAGAGGGCACCAGGCACTGGACTCCACATCGCCCCTCACGTCCTCGCTCGGGTCTGGGAAATGGCAGCTTTCCGGCCGACAGCCTCATGATAGCTGGCCTTCCAAAGGCGTTTCCGTTCCAAAGATGCTCCTGAGAAGCCCCATATGCCCGAGCCTCTTCCCGATGCTAGTGGCTGCCCCCAGCCTTTCCCCGTCTTTGAGAAAGAAGGAGTGCATGGAGAAGAGAAAGAAGAGGCACATGGAGAAGAGCACTGGGTAACGTCAAGGCACGTGCCTGGTGGGGCCTCATCTCTCTGACACCAGGGGGCGCTCTTCCCAGACAGTGCTTGCACCCCAACCTTATCCATGCGCCCCAGTGGGGGTCTGTTGGGCTGGGGGAACCAACCAAGCAGGAGGAGATCTGTGTGCCTAGGGGAGGGGCCAGGGCGCCCCCACAGGTCCTGATCCCTGGCTGTGGCCATGACCTGACCCTGACCCCTGGTCATGACCTCTGATCTCTGGCCAGAAGGTCTTTGTCTTCCCCACTGGGTCGTTCATGCTTTCCCGCCCTTTGTCTCAGGGATGACCCCACCTGACCTTTTCTCTTGGAAGCTCCGGCCCCTCCCGCCCCTCATGCCAGCCTGCTCCCACCCACCAGCCACCAGGCTCTGGTTTAAAGGGGCCATTGTCTAGAATGTTCCACAAGAACGGGGCGGGGGGAAGGAAATCTGAGGGTTGCTGGGTTCAGGCTTTAGATGTGGTCTTGCTGCGGGCAAGCTCGGATGTGGTCAGGCTCCATGGGGATCACTTTCACTTTTAAACCTCCAGGGGAGGAAAACCATATCTAGGTCAGTGACTGGTGGGCAGAAGGGAAATTATACTTGTGACCCGTGGCTTCGTGGCTATTCATGCGACATTTAAGAACATACGGGTGCTTGGTGAAATGCCATTCCTATACGTCATATGAACCTTTATTCTACGCGTTTATATGTGCGGTACATTTATGACATGAAAAATGATGGTGCACTTGATAGGGAACATATGTAAAATGACATAGATGTACTTTTAAAAATGTATCCTGTGTGAGGGAGACAGCACCACAAGCCTGATCACTGCTCTCGGTAATCAAAACCTCATCAGGATCCAATACACACCCGCAGTCGCGCATTCCAGCGTGATGGGGTTTTCTAAGAAACTTAACGCTTTTCACAGCCTTTGCTAATTCCCCTGCTTCATCTGCAGAGAGAGAGAGTGGACTGTTGTGAGCAACAGTGCCGAATGGAGTGATTTTCCTTTTCTGAGCATGAACAGTAATGCATGGTTGTTTTCCCCATGGTTTAAGTCGACAGAATAACAGAATTCTTAGTTTGTGCCAAACAGATGAACAGTTCACTTCCATCTTTTTTTTTTTTTTTTTTTGCTTTTTGGGCCACACCCGGCGATGCACAGGAGTTACTCCTGGTCCATGCACTCAGGAATTACTCATGTGCGGTGCTCGGGGGACCATATGGGATGCTGGGAATCGAACCTAGGTTGGTTGCGTGCAAGGCAAATGCCCTACCCTCTGTGCTATTGCTCCAGCCCCTCACGTCCATCTTTTAGAGCTCGCATATAGGAATCTATGCCAACAGAGGGACTGATTAATCAAACGAAGGGACCTGCTGAAAACACGAGCACCACACTCCTTGCCCACTGACTCCAGAAGGGCACTCCAGAACATTCCCTTTGCCAAGATACAGCAGTGAAGCCGGGGAGCGGACACTTTCTCTCGGAAACAGAGGCTGTGTTGAGTGCTTCTTTCCAAAGCATCACTAGGCGTCACCTGGTAAAGGAGCCGTGGGTTTAGATTCTACACAGAGCCATTAACTGGGTCACGCCCGGA